TGCCGTAGCGGCTGAGCTGAAGTTCAGATTGACAACGCTTTTCCAAGCAATCTGAAAATCTGAACTTCGCACCTTCCTGTAATTTCACAAGGCACTCAAGGTCATGATCATGCCTCTTTCAACGTTCGACCAATGTCACTGACCAAAGAAACACTGCGCACGACGAATGCAATGCATTGTCCAACCCCAAAGCAACGTTGTCCTGCCTGGGTGTGCCTTTGCCTGACTGCGGGCCACCTGGCGCACTGTGTCGTTGAAATTCCAACACATGCGACTTTCGCAGTGGTTGAATTCGTCTTGGGGAGGTCAGTGTGCCGAGCCTTCCGTGTCTTTCGTGAACGAGCCACCTGCCGTGTCTGCCGTTGGGCCTTGAACTCAATATCATAGACCTCCAACCTAAGAGCGATGGCCTCCGACCTAAGAGCGATGGCCTCCGGGCACGGGATTCTACAACTTCCACAAACTGGAACATGAGCTCTTTCTGTGTCCTTCGGTTTGCTCGTTAGGGCTCAAGACCAGCTAAAACTGGATGAGTTGGCGTCCAGGGTTGTGAACAACAGGACGTGTAGAGTACTAGTTCATGAAGTGCTGTACCAGTTCGGCGCCAAGGAACTGAGCTCGGGAGGAAGTCTTTTTGCGAGGAAAGGATTAATAGAAATTCTTTGGTTGAGGCGTCAAAGTGTTGGTATAATCAAATGTGTATATATACTATAATTTGTGTTTGAATCAATGGTAATAGACTAGAACTGATGTTGCTGTGCCTTCTTCTGTGAAAACTCCCAGCCGGCAAATGCTTTCTGGCACGCCCGGTCGCGATTTGCGAAACCAAGTGGACAGATTGCATCCACTCAAAAGAGATCTAGCACATGAGGCTATCTTGGCTAAGTCACAACACCGCTTAAGTCTCCAGATGGCTTTCTCTGCTCCAATCGTCTTTGATTGGCACACGCAAGTTTGGGTCCGCGATGCGGCAAGAGCGATGTTCGTCTGACTCAGCCACCCCACACACTTCGGATTCAGCAAAACTATGCCAAAACTATACCTCTGGTCGACGACAGCGTCGGCTGCACCTGAGAGGCAGGGATTTGACGGTGCGTTCAAAAAGGAATCCAGCTGGTAGCTGCAAATCAAAAACCTCCTGCTGCATGGCTTGCATGTCACCTTAGTCACCTTAGTCATACCTGGCAACAAATCCCAAGAAGTGCGCAGTCAGTGTCATCACATAAAGGGCAACCCTCACAAGGGAATGAATGAGTTGCCGTTGCCTCGTTGTATCAGGAGGTCTGAGGGACTGTTGGATTTGTGAGCGGAGTCACTACAGCTTCGAAAACATCCCTACCTGTCATCCCAGTCGAGTTGGTGATGCTTCGGAGCAGAGGGCCTTCACCGTCTCCGTGCGTATGTCAATCTTGTGTGATTTCCGTGAGCTCTGGTTTTTGAGCAGTAGCTTCTCCCTGGCTGAAAAGCCCTTATACATCCTTATGCATCCTTATACATCCTTAATCTTTAAACTAGTATAAGGCCGTCCCACTCAGTCTCCAACGGCCGTTCCTGCCACCGACCTGGCAAGCTATGCGTGCCGGTCCCGGCAGGGGCGTTCTCACCGTTGCTCGTCGTCGAAGGTCGAAGAACTTGTTCTTGTCATTCTAAGTTCAATTCTAATTGAATTCTTGTTTCTAATGGCAAACATTGTTCCTAGTGAGGCCAGGAGCCCCGAACGTAGCGTTCGATCGCTCCTAGTAGCGATGCCAGGAGCCCCGAACGAGGCGTTCTTGGTACTTAACGGCCCTCATTGATCTGTGAGGGTCGAACACGGTGTTGGATGGTTCAGTGTGGATGTGACAACTCATCCAGGGCGGTCTTCCTTCACCGGCCGAATCTGTGTTCTCAAGGAAGTGTCCTAGCTGCAAGAAGAGGCACAGAAGAGAAGAGAGCTCTACTATTGTGAGAACGTGAGAAGAGAACCACACGGGGTCTTTCCTTTGACCAGCGATGGCAACTAAGATCCCTTTCAACCTGGCGGGTGCCCTGCTCCGTTGGACGAATCCCCCAAATGATGCGGCTGGGGAATATCAGCGGAATAATTCACCATCTGATTGACGTCCATCTGACTCCAAAGATTCCAAAGGTTCGATGAAGTCTACTTGACATCGATGCTCAAGTGACCAACTTTTGACCAGAGAGTGGACTCCAGCCAAAGACCCAGCTTCCCGAGGAAAAGCCTCAAGCTTTGTTCAGACCCTTGCATTTTTGAAAGTTCTTGGAGCTGAAACTGAAAAGGTGGTTCCTTCATGTTCCTTCTGTATGTCGCGAACCGAACCATTCGCGCCCGAAGTTCGCTCTGCCTGGGGTGCGTTATCTCCAACCAGACCGGAACGCCTGAGGCAGCACGGGCCAACACATTTCGAGCTGTGGCGCCAGCTGGCTCTGTTCGTCTGTGCTGGTGTTGCTATTGGCGATTGCCTGCGGCTGTAGCTATTGCTGCTGCTTCCGCGCGTTGCCCATGCTCCCTTCCCCACGCTCTGATCTCATTGGATCATGTTGGCTGGATCCGGCAACGGTTTGTGGGGACGAGCAAGAAGCTACTAGGGGCTCCTGGCCTTACTACTAGGAGGAAGGACGCTACTAGGGGCTCCTGGCATCGCTACTAAGAGCATTCTTTCCACTAGTAGCATAAATGCCGGGGGTCAAGTGGCGCTGGGAGACCGAACTTTGGCGTAGCCCGGCGATTCCGATGTGATTTCCCATCGATCAAAAGGGTAGGACAAATATATGTATATATAATATATTTATATATATATATGTATAATATAAAGAAATATAAGTATAATATAGTATAATGCTACAGTAATAATATAACACCAGGGGCTACTACGTCTGTCTTCAGGCGACTTGTGATACTTCACGTCAAGTTTCACTATTCACCGGGTCAAAGGCTCGAAAGCCCTGTTTGGATGCTGCTTCATATGGAATGACGAAAAAGTCTTCCAAAAATTAGGCCAGAAAGAGTCCGCCAGACAGCGGCAAAAGGGGGCAATCAAGCCTGTACTAAGGAATTCCCTCAGCAAAGTGTACCGGGAAACTTCAGCGTGCAATCCGGGGAGATCCTCTTATAAAGGTCCCCCAACAAGAAGAAACCATGTCCATTCACATCCGCACAGTGTTTTAGAAAACATCGGTGCTCTTTGCGATCGTCCATTCCATCTCAACCCTCGTTCCGCCTCACAACTTCGAGAAGGGCCCAGGACCAGGGGAACCTCAGGGAAGGACACACGGCGTCAGGCGACATCACCGGTGTCGTCACTCGACATCGCCCTTCGGTTGGACTTGGTGGAAAGCCCCGCGATGGAAGGGAAGTCTTCGTCATCTGAAGGCCGAAGGATTCGGAACTGCCGGGACTGTACCATGTGACTTTGGGAATACAAGTGTATGGAAGTGTGAAAACCAACAACTTGTTGGGACTTATATCTTGTGAAATGTTGGGACTTATATCTGTGTTGGGCTCGAAGGCTTCCTCCTGTGTGACGTTGTGACGTCCCATCCATCAACACTTCCTGAAATGTCGCAACACATTGACCTTTAACCGAAAGGGCATGAACCTTGGAACCCGCAGGTTCTGATCATCCGTGGGACGAAACACCTCTGAAACCCGACTCCTCTGAAACCTCTGAAGTCCATCATATCCATCGGAACAGACCCGACCCGGGTATCCCGTCGCTTCCTGAACTCCTTGAGCACGGTGTCAATGACCGTGGTGCCTGGGAAGACCTGCGCGGTGGTACCGTGATGGAAACCGGTGTGCGGACGGGATCACTTGTCACTTGTCACGGTGTAACCTTCATGGACCTGACCAGGGTGAAGCAGCTGAATTCCCGTCGGATCCTTCAATGCAGCTCTGATTCACACGATGGCAAACAACATATGCGACAGTGTGAGGGTCCGACGGTCCTGAGACAAATGTTAAAAACTCTTCTGGGCGTGTCGATTCCTTTGAAGCAATCATGCTTCCTCTAAAAGCAAAAGGATCCTACCAGTCATGCTTGGTAGCTAGCTCACTCTCGGGGGCATGCTGACCAATAGCAGTAGCCAAGCAGTGAAGCAATTCTTTGTGTGTCAAGACGTCGCATGTCCAAATTCCGGGTCCTCCACTTAACAGACTGGCTTTAACACTACTGGGGAACCTCTGTAGTGTTGGTCTCATGACCTTTGCACACTACGCTCTTTTTTGGTCTCCGCGCACCGAGTGGCTCGGACTCGGGTGACCTCTTTGGGCCAGAACTACGAGTCTCGGTACTCTTCTCCGGCCAGATCAAACAGTGGCTTGGTCAACAGTGGCTGGGCCCAACGACCAACGACTCTAGAACTGAAGCTGCTGGACGGTGCGCCTTTCCAGGGTTGTGAAAGGAAAGTCTGCAGGAGACTTATCTTGAACTGGAAGGTTTGAGAAGCCATTGTCGCGCACCGGCTGAAAAGATGAAGCTCGGCTTCCGAAACGACGAAACAAATCGTGCGGGCAAACGGCTGCCTGCCTGGACTCCGTCCAATTCCAAAGCCCTAAGTCTTAACTTCCAATTCCAATCCCTGGCTTCGAATTGTACCAAAAGGAACATCAAGATCAACAGGTCATACATCTGCTGTCAGAGAAATGTCAGTGGCAGGCTCAGTAATTGAAAGCCCGGCTAAAAGGAAATATGTACACTCATCCATATGCATCCTTTTCCCTCGTCCAAATAGATAGGAGATCATCTAATTACAGGGGATTTCTCGCTGGTTATCGTATATCCTATATCCTCTATATATAGATATTTATACAGTGTGTATATATATATATATGGATATACAGTACAGTATATACAGTGTGTATATATATATATATGTGTATATGTACAGACTGTCTTGATCCGTCTTGTATGTGTTTATTTTGTTGTTTCCCGTCCGGACCAAACAGGTCCTTCTTGACCAAGCCATGCTCTGGACCCTCGGCTGCCAGCCAAACGGGCTCAGCAGGAGATGACCGAGAGCAGCTTGAACTTGGGGCCGTCCTGGTTGTACGAGCATGGTGCCCCACGGTGCCCGAGTGCTCGGAGACTTCTCCGCTTGGTGGAAGAAGGACAAGCCATGGTGTTCGGGTGGAGGGAATGATCTGCCATCAAATAACGTGGTCGACTATATCGGGAACTCTAGGGCCCTAGATCAAAAGCAAGTTCTGGACATGAGAATTGGTGCTGAACAAATGAATTTGAGTTGTCACATGGGAAGACCCACAAAATTGCTACACTTCACTTCTTTCTTTAGTCCAAGGATCTAACAGCCGCACCACCACCGTGGCTTCAGTGAAGTCATCCACAGGCTCCACGGCAGTAAATGCAGCACCTACCTGGAAAGAAACGTGATCAAACTGGAAGAAGCGCAACATGTGGATATATGTGTTTATCAACTGTGGGTTTCATGGGAATCTGTGCCACTATTGTTCACCTGTTCAAAATCGGCCAAACTGACACGGTTGAGACTGTGCCCTTGTTCTTTCGGCGATCTGTCATGAGAACTCAACCTCAACACTTCAGGTTCGTAGGTGTGTCAACTGGTCGGTGATGCGTGTGGTTTGCCTGTTGAAGTCATTTAGGTTTCATGTATATAGAATCGACAAACAGGTCTCCGCCGCTTACTACACTCCAATCACTCCCCAAAAACAAGAAGCAGAATTTGGGCTTCGTGTAAAGGAAAACAGTATTCCCAAGAGTTGTTTTCCACTTCCCTGCTTCCTTTCAGTGGTGTCCCAAACATTGTCCACAATCAGTACTCTTCCAAGGATTTGTTTTCCACAGGGAAATGGCTCGCAGGTGTTTCCCAGGTGGTCTGACTTTTAATGTCAAAACAGCTTTGGTTTGGCAAACCTCGAAAAGAAAACAAGTACCATTCAGGGCGACCAGTGAAGATCCGTTGAAGACCTGCCATTGAGGTCTTTTCCGATGTGTCATCCAGAGGTGCCACATCGGTCCTCCAGTGCTTTCAGTGCTTTCAGTACTTTCGTTGGCTCCAAGATGCGGTGATGGAAATCTTGTTGGGCCAATAACCCAAGAGTCTCCAAACCTGATGCTCACAAGCGCCACAGGTGAAAGGAGGTGCACACGACTCGTTGAGCCACAGGTGAAAGGAGACAACAAGAATCAGTGATCCCCTGGGCCCCCCTGGATCTTTGGATTGTTTCCTCTCATCTGTACATAACGTTTCTTCGTGCTGGCACGGATGTATGTCATCTCGAGTCATATTGTCACATGCCGGGACGACGGCAGTTTCCTTCACCGGTGCCCACCACACCGCTCCTCTTCCACACCAGCTCACTTCAGCACGATGCGCACATCTGGCTCACAAGTGCCAACCGTTCACAGGTGCTGACGGACACAAAAGAGCCAGAGGCACCTTACAGCCCTAGGCCCTATGGAGCTCGAAAATCCATCACCCGCTTGCCCGGCCCAGGTTCCGGTCCACCCCCACTCCTTTGTTTTCAGGAACGGTCCGACGACTTCCTTGTCCTTCCAACTGTTTCGACGTCCAGCGATGGGGAGATCCTGGTGCCGGGAATCGCTCACGTGAGCTCCGTCCGATGGAGATCGGCGCACGGAATCGGTGTGGTGGGACGGATCTCGGGTCTGAACCACCAGTCGCCTAGCTCGTTTGGAGAAAGACGTGTGGTCCAAAGGCTTTCAGGGCTGCAAGTTTGTGGCCCACAAGCCTGCGAGGACAGGAGACTGGGAACTCTTGAGAAAGTGATACGCTGCAATTTGAGGAAAAGTTATATAGATCAAAAATGGTCTTCGACCACAAGAGCAAAAAACACATAGCAGAGTTCGCCTTGCTCAAGAAGGTGGTTGTGGTTTAAAATGCCTTCTACTTGGAATATCTTGGAATGTTCTACCAATTCTATGTTTTGTTGGACAAGGTTGCGCTGAAGAATCCACTCCGGTGGAGAGTAACACCCCACCCGTGGTTGGTCACCCACAGCAAGGAATCAACACATTCTCTTGTGGGGATTGGCAAAGGATCATACCGTACCAACATTAAACTGAGCTCAGACACACAGAAAACTCCAAAAGTATCTGACCAACTTTCCTTCTCAGAAGCCACGTCGTCCACGACACATGGGGTACGCCACGCCACGCCGTGGGCGCGCAGCCCACCCGGGAAGTCCCGTCGAGGCTCGGATCTCGAGCTCCGCCGTGCCCAGCTGCGCGTAGGAGCGCCTTGGATCGGCGCAAGCTGCGAGAGATCGCCGATCGCGAGGTCCAAGCGAGGTCCGAGCGAAAACCCATCGAGCTCAATCCGGGATGGTCCAGGCTCTTGAAGTCTGATTCCAGATGTGTGTTTTCAAGTCTGTGAGACAAGGCCCCGTTTCTCCCCCCCACAGTCTTCAGCTATAGTAATTAATAGTTCTGGACGGTGCCAAATAGGCAAATTCATGCCTGACTCTTGAAAACTGTTTCTTGGTTCTATTTATAGGTCAAGTGGACCAGTCATCCTGTAGGTAAGTTTGGGTGCTTTCAAACACAAAGACCGCTTGACGGGTTTGTCGGGTCTTTGATGAGTTCCCCAGTGTGAAGACACCTGGTTGGTTCCCCACTGAATAATACAATCCCCTTTGCAGAATTCCTTTCGCACTGACCAGAAAGATGTTCCCCTCTCGGGGATGACTGCCCAAAACTACAAAGCCTCGCAATTCCAACAGAACCAAAGGTTTGAACGTGAACCCGATACTGCAAGTGCAGGAGTGTGCAGGACCTTGGTTCTCGAACGTAGCGATCGCCATAGGCAAAAAAAATGCCAATGACTCTTGTTCTTTTCCTCTTCCCCATTCTGACGGGAGTACGGCTCTCCTTATTTGGTTGGAGGCCATTGCTTTTAGGTTGGAGGCCATCGCTAGTAGAAACAACTAAAAGACAAGGAAGGAAGGTCTAATACAACTTGCTAGTATACGAGTACGCCCGAGGCCCAAACCGCACGCGGAGGACAGCCCTCCTTCCCGGAGGACGCCGAGCATCAAGTACTGCACCGCCAACTTCGGCTTCCGGCCTTGGCGCGTGAAGCACGGTGCCCGGTGACGGTGCGACTCCCAGGTTGGGACGCTGATACGAAGGACTTCTGGGGCCCATGGGGGAAAGAGACACCCCTAACTTGGAGCTCCTTTAAAGAACCTGTGAAACTGATTTCTGTATATAATTACCAGACGAAGATGAGTGAGCCCGTCTTTGGGTGCGGTCGGAAGCCTCATCGGAAGCCTCGTTGGAAGCCTCGTCGGCAACGGGATTCTTTGACACCGCGCATCAAGATCATCGAGCTCAAGATTCCACACGCACAGGGAAAAACTTCATGTTCTTTTAGACCCATCTGACAGCTGTTCTCATGATCAAAGTGAGCCCAGATTTTGCATGATTGACACTTGATACTTCAAAATTATGCCGGCATAGACCCCAGATAGCACTTCAAGAAAAGTTGGACACCATGGCAAGAGCGGGAGACAAGCTTGGGAGACATCCCACTCAAAGCCGGGAAAAGGATGGAAAAGGTAAACAAGACCTAAATCATCTTATAACAGCATCCGCGTCAAAGGCAGGCAAGAAGATGACAAGGCGGCAGCGGCAGCCAAGAGTGAAATCAGGAACAGAGACAAGCTTGGGAAACAAGCCGGCAGCGGCAGCCAAGAGCAAAGTCATGAAGGGAGACAAGCTTGAGAGACAAGGCGGCAGCGGCAGCCAACAGCGAAATCATGAATGGAGACAAGCTTGGGAGACAAGGCGGCAGCGGCAGCCAAGAGCGAAATCAGGAAGGGAGACAAGCTTGGGAGACAAGGCGGCAGCGGCAGCCAAAAGCGAAGTCATGAAGGGAGACAAGCTGGAGAAACAAGATGGCAGCGGCAGCCAA